TCGTTAGTCAACGGTGAGAAACTATTAATATTTGATCCCCGTTTGAATTGTGCCCTGAATTACACGCGTGATGTTTGTGAATTTAAAACCTAATTTTGCAAGTCAAGAAAGTCGCAGTTTGTCGTAAAACTGTTTAAGTCTGAGATTTTTTCTGTCAGTGACTGAAGCTAATGTTACTGAAGCTGACGCCATCTTCTTCATTGGTCCTGCTTGTTTCGTTTTGCACCAGAAATGGAAACATACGAGCAACATGGTCAGATTTGGACAGATGTTCCCTTCTTTTAACACTTTCCTCCGCGTCCTGGAAGAAAGAGGTGACGAATACTGTGCGAGAGGAGAGATGAAGTTCATGAAGCGGGTTTTAAACTAAATGTTACTTTCCTTTTTTTTTTACAACAAACTGCAACTTTTCTCTTTCTATCTTTTAAATTGACAAACATTAATAAATAGGGGAACAATTCAAACGATATAAAAAGGTTAGAAGCTCTGTCTATGTCATGTGTTGTCTGCCGAGGTGTTGCACTCGAACTTGGAGGCGACAGGATGTAATTGATGAGGGTGGGGGGTCAGTAAGGGGACAACGTGTTTTGTGTTGACCCCCATCTTTGTTCCTCTTTCTTCTTCTATTTGTTATAAAAAGAAGGAGGAATTTTTTTTTACCATAATATTGTTTGTTGTCCACTGAAGTCTTTGGCTTTTTCAGATTTTTTCTTGCAGCGGTGGCTGCAGATGTAGCAGTGGTAGGATTTCTTAATGGTCATAGTGATATTTATTTTAGCCAGAGACTTCTTTTCAGGACAATATTCATCTCAAAACCTCTTCTGGTTTCTTCACTAATGGTCATTTTTCTGCAGATTGTTCCACAGTAGCAAGCAGAGCCTTTGGCAGAACGCTGCAGGACGATCAGAGCTCTATCGTATCGATCTGTCAGTGCAGTAATTTGGTTATGAAATAATAGGATTTGCTGCAGAAGCAGTTTTTTCATGAAATGTGAGGCTGAGATGTAGACTCCTGTTTTCATTGCCTTTACCAGTTTCCTCCCGTGGTCACAATTCTCCTGTTTTTATCCCAAATTCTTTCCTTTTTAAGTATCACAACCTGTTTTTGGCCCTTTACAGCAGGAAGCCTGTAAGAAGAGCCGCTCGCACCTCGGCCTGCTCACAGAGGGAGAGAGAAATAGAAAGTAATAAGAGAAAGAAATATTCAAGCGAATTTCAGACGTCCTGGAAAGAAGTTTATGCCAGTGGGGCAAATTTATTATAACAGATTATTATATCGCTGTCTTTGAGGTCTCAACGTTGGCAAGCATGGATGGAGCCACTGAACAGCGCAGAACATGGCTGAAGTATAACAGGACTTTGAATTTATTATTTACCATCACCATCTTTTCAGTTGTTTGTAGACAGAAATTCAAACTTGCGATACCACAAGGTGATAGAGTCCGTCTCTCTATGCTGTTTGACTTCCTGTCTGTGGCTCCCAGCGCCAGAGCCCATTGGTTCCTACTGTAGACGTAAATCTTTAAAAACACATTCACAAACATACCGTCGTGTTCAAAAAGGCTCAGTAACTTCCTAACAGCTGATTGCTGTAGTTTTTCCTCAAACGGGAGGAAGTAGTGCATTTTCAGGGACTATTTTCAGCAGCGGATGAATCCACATGTGGCGCAGGACGGTGGAAAAACGACAGTGTGTGTTTGATGAGAGCTGACAGCGTGGAGCTGAGCCTGATAAGTTAAATGTTAGATGTCTTAAAATGGTCTCTGAACCGGATAAACCGATATGGATATATTAAGAATAACTGCGGACCAGGTTCCAAGACGGCTCCCCATTCGTTCCTTTGAAAGTTTTTCACCCGGTTTTAGTTGGTGCCGCCCTAAAGACAAAGCTTAAATTGTGTTTTCTCTGCCAGTGGTAGGGATGTAGAGATTTAAAGTTTCTGGTGTGTGATCATGAGCATTTCAGCCGGAAAGGACCTCTAGTCTGACTCTTTGCACTGACTATTTACTAATTGCAGGGTCCACATGTCTAAGTGTCCTTAGCCCCAAAACGCTCCCGTGGTAAGACCAGGACCTCACATGATAGTTTGCTGTGTGTGAGTGTCTGAGTAAAGGGCAAACTGGGAAGTGCTTTGTCTATGAGCTCTATATAAATTCAGTAAATTTACTATTTGCAGACTTTTAGTCTTGTTAGACTTTTAGTTCTGTAGCGGAGCAGATGGCTTCAGGATCCTGTTGAAGGTGAGATAAATTATAAAAATTTATATTGATAAACATTATCTGTCTATTTCATACCGAGCCTGTTAACCGAGCAGGAGGTGTAATTTCATCTTTGTTAGCATTTTCCATGTAAAATTTCAACCAGTCTTTTTAAATCTGTCATATTGAATCATGTATCATTTGAACTGCTTGTTTTCTGGAGCACAAAGTTTGCTAGTTCATATATTATGTCTATAAGAGATGTGTTCACGAGACAAACAGTAATCTTTATCTTTAAGTGTGTTTCAGTTGCATTAACTAATCTTTAACAGCCGTTTTCTCAAAATGACATGTTTCCTGTACGCCAAGTCATTTTCCTCGCCTTCGAAGGCGGTTAGATCATCACGACTCAGAACTGAAGAAGTCCTTTGGATGAGGGACGAAACGTCGTCCACTATCTTCAACCAAGTCCAGTTGCCCTTGACTTTAACACTGTTTCTTAGGTCTCATACCAAGACATTTACTGAGAGTTTTTTAAAACATCTTTAGTTGATCAAATTTTATGTGGCATTTTATCTGTAAATATGTGGGGAAAGGGTCCTGTCACATAACCCTTCAAAATATTATCAAAATAAAACCAAAAAAATCTTTTGTGTGTGATTTGTGTGAAATGCAAATCAGTCATTTTTAAGGAAAATACCTTTTTTGCATATAAAAAAATAAAAAGCTTCTATTTCTGGTTAAATTCAGCTCGTGAAGTTTAATTGTGATAGGAGTAAAGTTGGGGGGAAAGGCCCATTTGACTGTGGTGTCTCGCCTGAAGGGCTTTTGCACATTACAGTGGCCTTTGTGAGGTCCAACCTGGGACCTCCTTGGTTTATGGTGCAGGTTTGGCTAACTGGGCCCCTCTTCCTGTCGGCTAAGCTGTTGTTACTTGCTCAAGGCGGACATTTTTGTAAAAATCCTTCTCCAGAACAAGAGAAAGGTCCTGTGTGCAGAATGCTGAAGCACCTTTCCATTCAGAGAGAGGACTGAGTGAACAAGCTTGCAGCTCCGCACACTGGACCGGGCTCAGCGTCAAGACTCATGTGCCACCAGATTAAATTGAACCGAGCTTTTTGTAGACCTTCAGCTCAGTTTACCCCCCCCCCCCCGCGTGTCACTTTTAGGAAGGTGCAGGAATAAACAGATGCAGAAGGTGAGTCGGTCACTTCCCACCTCTGCAGCTCGGAGTGGATAATTTATGTCTGGTTATGTAATGGCCGTCTGTGCCACTTGGCTGCCTTCTGCTGTGCTACTGGTAGCGCTGTAGTCTGAATGTGTCGGATCTGCTGGTACTCTACGTTGCATACTGAGGCTCTGGGCAGGAGGGATTGTCCCGGCCTGAGTGATGGCCTTTACCTCCTTCTCTAACTCACTCTGCTATAGAGCTCTTTGTCTTTTACTGCCCTCTGTATAAACTCAGGGGGAAACACGTTTGGGACCGCGGTTGCTCAAGAGTCTCAACGGGGTCACTGCTGTTTTTAGGGTGCAGCTGCAGCAGAAAAGCTGGAGATGTTCTGGGTGATGTGTACCATGTGGAAGCCAAGTCGAACAAGTCACATGTGAAAAGCACATGTGCTGTGCTCATGTGTGGAAGTGTAACACTTCATGAGCTGGATGATTGTTTCTTCTGGTTAATTTACACAATAAGAAAACATGCAATGCAATTCAAATACAGAAGAAACAAATGTGCATTGTTCAAGAAAAAGAAACATAATCTAAAAAACAAGTTACTGATTATAAAATAACCTAAAAATGTGCACCAATCAGCAACTTTAACAACTTCTTGACACAGTTTCTTTATGGCCGAGTTTTCAGTTCTCTCCCTGTGAACAAAACAAAAGAGGAGGGAAGACCAAAAAAACGTTGATCTACAGATGAAACATATCTGAAAGCAAGAAGGCCTGAGAGCTGCACTGCATTGTATGCTTTTATATTTTTATATTTTGAATTTTTCAACCTGTCACCTAAATTTTGTGTTTCCTTTTTCATAAATAAAAATATTTCCGCTATAAACTTGTGCAGAAACTTTCACAAGAATGCAGGAAATGATGTGTTTAGTGCTCAAAATTACTCATTTATCTAGACATTGAACATTAATTCAAAACACTGTTCAAGAGCTTTATCACGAACCTCTATGTCCCCATAACTTTTTAACACAAAGTGACGCCCTGGAACATGATGAACTCCGGTTGAACTGATTCAGTATTTCTCCTTTACAGTTCTTTTAACTGACAAAATAATCTCACCTCAAGGTCCATTTAGTAGATGTTCTGGAGCTTTAACACATAGCCATCAACAAGTCATGTGACTCGACTACTGTTGACATACAACATACATTCATGCCACTCAAGCTGATTTGCACTGACTTGACTTGACTGACCTCTGATTATGTGCAAAAAGAGAAGAAGTGTATTTCACTACAGGCCAGATTCCCGTTTTGCTGTGGATGCATTTCCAGCTTGTATTAATGTGCTATCAGTATTTCGGTGTCTCGCATGTTAATGTAGATGTAAATTCATGCAGAACACATTGCAGCCCTCACTATATCTGGAGTCGGGACACAAACCTTATATTCTACTTTGCTGAATTAAAAATCCTTCTCCTCTCTCGTCTTCAGGGAACATCATCGGCTCTGGGATCTTCATCTCTCCAAAAGGGGTCCTGGAGCACTCGGGGTCAGTGGGGGTGGCGTTGGTGGTTTGGGTCCTGGGAGGCTGCATCGCGGCCTTGGGCTCCCTCTGCTACGCTGAGCTGGGCGTCACCATCCCCAAATCTGGAGGAGACTACTCCTACGTCACAGAGATATTCGGTGGTCTGATGGGGTGAGTAAAGAGCCTTTACTTGAGCCTCAGGTCCGGGCTTGTAATCCGGCAGCTCTGTCTGCTTGATACGTGATTGTAGTTAGCTCTTGGTTAGTGACCATGCAGTGCGGGAAAGTTTGAGTTTACTATACATGGTAGGGTAAAAGAGTGGACTATAAAGTAAATAATAAAAGATTTTGGACACAGCTCATGATGATAACTAACTTTACGAGTTGTGCTACACTGATGAACCCGCAGAGGGTTATCAGCTGAATCTGCAGCTTCGCTCTGCTTTACGGAGCTTCATAGTGAGTTTCAGCTCATTGTTTATCTGTCTGGCTGCAACTTTACTGTTCTGGTTCACTCTCAGCGCTCTCATAGCGTTGTTTTCAGAGAACAATTTGTAAAAATCCGGAGACAGACACAGTTAGAGAGCAGCTGGTGAACATAGTGGTGCATTTAGCAGCTAAAGAGTTTGATATTTCCCTCAGGAGCTGGTGGAGACCAAACACAGAGCTAACAGAGAGACACAAACTCGACTCCACATGAACCATCATGTTCTTCTGTAACTGCTAGATGTGGGATTAAGCAACTGTGTGCTAACAAGTTCACCATGTCAACTTCAAAATATGATGAAATGTCAATGTTGTGTTCAAAACTTGTTTGCCCCTAAGTGGCCAAAGAAATCAGTGCAGGTTTCATCCACATGAATGTCATGCATTTGGTGTATTTGCTGTTGAAAATCTTACAACTTTAATTTGAAGGTTCCCCTTATAGTGCAATGTTCACACAGCCTAAATGTGACACTCATGTCTGCCAGACTCACTTATAATCAGTCCCTCCAGGATTTGTTGAGGCCTAAAACGCCTGATTTGGCAGCAGTTTTTCAAAGAACATTTGAATAAAGTTTTGATGTTTTGGGGCATTTTTTGTGATGAAATTGTGGGAATAAGTGAAAACTGTAAAGGTAGATGTGATTAAAGATCATTAAACATTCCCTCCGCTTGCAATTGACCGGGATGCAGCAGCCTGTGTGACAGTGATTTGACTCATCCTCCATGTGTTTCTGCTCCTCTCCGCGAATGTTTCACGCTGACAAAGATTATTTCCTTCTACTGCATGTTTGCAAAGCTAACAAGCTTGGTATACCTGGTATACTACAGGTTCGTCGTTCATCATTGGTCGAAGTAAGTGACCAGTTTAACACATTCAGGTCAAAGCAATTTTAGATTCCTTTGAGTCAAGGTGGAAAATCCCCCAAAAAGGCATTTTAGAAAACCAAAATAGATAAAAACTCTCGACTGAAAACATAATACTACTACCACAACTATTATCTCTAGTAGTTCTAGTAAAAGTAATGTGTATTCATGTGTGTAATCTAATGTAAATCAGGGGAAGGTTTTTCCATCTGTGCTCGGTTCGTGCTGAGTCTCTGTACTTTGACACACCAGTTGTTGAATCTGTGTCCTGGCATTGAACGTCTTTCTCTTGTTCAGGTTTCTGCTGCTGTGGAGCGCCGTCCTCATCATGTACCCGACCACCCTGGCTGTCATCGCCCTCACTTTCTCCAGCTACGTCCTGCAGCCCGTCTTCCCAAACTGTGTTCCTCCATACATGGCGATGCGGATGCTGTCCGCCACCTGTCTCTGTAAGTGTAACCCCTCAGATGTTGAAATGACCGGCTCCACTATTCCTCTGATTTTGATTCAGCGTGGAGGGATGGTGAATATTCCTGCTGACGCAGTGCGCTTGCATTATTCATGAAGGATGACTTGTGGTGTTGCTGCTGGTGGATCCTGATTCTGAAATAAGACATTTCTCTTCTCATGCTGACCATTATTGAGCTCATCAATAAACTGCAGGTCCATTTGTTTGGCTCATGTGTCAGAGGGGAGGAGGCCACATGTGAAATTTCTCTTATGTAACTTCTGGCTGAAGGCTTTTTAAAACCTTTTTATGGCTGTAGTAAATAATGCACAACGTCCCTTTAGGAGGGAGGAAACCAGGACGAGAAGAATGTATGAGGGGGAAGGTTTGGTTTCTCTAGTCTGGTAGACAAACGCTGTTGAATACTATAAAAACTGCACAAGCTAGACTTTATTAATAGAGTTTTTAAATGCTTCTGGAAGTTAAAATATACGCCTAAATGAAACATGATTTATAATGAAATAGATAAAAAACATGTAATCAAGGACTGACAGTAGATCAGAGACATCTTTAATCCATCGTCAACCGGGGGGCTGGAGCCAAACCCAGCTGGCATCAGGCAAAAGGCGGGGTTCACCCTGGACAGGTCGCCAGTCCATCGCAGGGCCACATATAGACAAACAACCACTCACACCTAAAGACAATTTAGGGTCACCAATCAACCTAGTCCAGATGTCTGTGGACGGTGGGAGGAAGCCGGAGCACCCGGAGAGAACATGCAAACTCCACACAGAAAGGCCGGGGCAACCGGGGTTTGAACCCACGACCTTCTTGCTGGGAGGCCACAGCGGTATCATCCAGACCCACATCTTTAATCATTTAACAAAAACAATCAAGGCATTTTTGTTTAAGCTACTGAAAATGTAACTAGACACATTCGACTGTAATATTAATGCAATTTAACGATACGATTTTGGTGTTACTGGTGGGAACATCAGTATATCTTGACATCTGCAGCTCAGAGTCTGAAGAGGGACAAAAAGGATGCTTCTTGTTTCAGGGTATCGTTGAGACAAACTAGTTTGTATAAAGTGTTTCTACCTGTTCCAACAGCCACACTAGAAGTCATAAGGTGGGTCTCCATCCACCTGTTTTTATGCACATTTTCAATTTGCCATAGGTATCATTTACACTGGGGACACCACATTTTGAATTGGCTGATTTTGTCCCCATCGATTTTTGAAAGCATTTGTTAGAAATGTTCTAAAAAACAGCTTCCACCAAGAAATGTTAAATAAATGAAAATGCTTAATAAGAAAACATGCAACGCAATTTCAAATATAGAAGAAACAAATGTGCATTGTCCAAAAAAAGTAACTTAAGCTAAAACAACAACAAGCAGCTGATGCATTATATTCCAATATATGTTTATGAATAAATAAATATCTCAAAAACGTTTTTACGCTTGCCTGAGGTGGAAAAGTTGGTTTGTCGATAAAACCAAAATGCGACACTCTGCGACATTCTGAAATGAACACGCAAAATTAACATCAATGCCATATTTCCGTCTTGTTTTCTTCACTGTTTTCCCCCCTCAGAGCTTTGAGTCGTGCTCATTTAATCTTGTGATAATAAACACATAGCGTTAATGGATAGAAACACATATACAAGAAACGATGAATTAAACAAATGTGGATAACAGAGGACGGTGACGGACACTCTCTTCTTGGCATTCATTGTGCATTCTCGTTTGCTCGCACAAAGAGGAACAAAAGTTCAAATGCTGCCTACTGTCACACCTCCACACACCTGAGTAGAATAAAGGGAGCTACAGACTTCTTCTCATTATGCAACCCTGTTGTAAAATGAAAAATAAGTTTCCGACTATGTTCAGCCGACGATTGTTTACTATTGTGTACCAGGCCTGTGTAGTTTACTGGCGCCTTTACACGCTGTACAGTAGGACTAGAACAGCTTTGGAAGACTTTAATAGAACAATGAAAACTTGAATATAGACATTAATGGCAGATATTACTGAGCATCCTGCTGGATTTTTACAGAGGTTAAAGCAGCTGAGAGCTTCTTCACTCCTCAAACATTCAAATGTTTCCATCAAATATGTATTGTATAAAAAAAGAAACGCTGCACGAGGACTGTTGGGTCAGTCAGTACTAGAAGAAACAGGGCCGGTCAAGCAGACTTTAGGAAAGATCTCAGAGTTTTGCTGCCCTGAGCTGGACCTGTCAGGCTTCCTAATTGCTCCGTGTGTGTGCCTGAGAGTACCTGCACTGAACAACATTAATTCACACAACCTCTTTGTCTTGTCAATGAATAAATAGCGTCTGGCCTGAAAGTCGGCGAGGTGAAACAGCAGGACTTCAGCGTTTGATTCCTCGCCTCTGACGCCATCCTTCACACTTGTTTTTGGAGCTGGATGCTAAAACGTGAGCTCTGCCCACCCGGGGGGGTTGGTGTGCGTGTTTGGGGGGGGGGGGCTCGCCACGTTTTGTCTGCTCTTTGCAACGGAAGTGGTTTGTTTTGTGGGGCTGACAGCTCGTCTTTGTGTTGGAGAGCGAGGCCACCATGAGAGAGAGCGGGGCAAAGCCGGTGACAGTGATGGACGAGGTGAAACAATCATGCCCTCCCTCACTCGATCGTTTCCCACATTCCTGCCTCCCATGGCAACTGGCTGCTGCCGCCCACCGCCGGTGTAGGGATGGAGCTGTACGGATACTGATTTAAAGGAGCACTCCACCAATTGTACAAAGTCAGTTTCCTTGTCATGATTAGTAATGCTCGGCCTGTGAAAACAATGGTATAAAATCTGCTCTGGCTCTGCAGGAACAAGACAATGTGACCTCGATGATGTCATACTGTAATGATGTCATGAGGGTCTCAGCTTGGGCTTGGAAACACCAAACAAACAGAAAGGCTGCGTTTCGAACTGGAGGTGTGGGGTTGTAAGATGTTTCCCAGGTAGGGAAGGTCCAACAAAACTGTTGCATCATCTGAAATGGAAGATCCAGGGTTTTTGGAGCTTTAAGCCAAGTTCACACGGCACACTTTTAAGCCTGATTTATCAGTCGCTACGTTGTGCTGTTATCAGGGGCAAATCCGCGATCAATCTGTGCTCTCCAGTCGTTACGTGTGAACTACTCAATGTCGCATCAAAATGGCGCGCCAGATATCTAGCGTGCTAAATATCTGGAGGAGTCAGGCAGCTACTTTTTCACTCCAACTCTCTGTAGGACAGACAACCCCAGCTAATTCCCCCATATTCTTTGTCTTAATCATTGTTATCTTTATAATAATAAACAACTCCTGTTTCGTGTAGAGTTTCACGTCATTTCCTGTTTCACTTCTCGCATGTGTTTTCTTGACAAAAACATGATTTGCTGACCAGACAGAATCGTCAGGTGATGGGGCGGCGACTAGCTCACCATCAGTACATGTCCCATGTATAAAGGCCTAAGCCCTCAGCAATGCGTAGGCATTGTTCACATACTTGCCTGCGTACTTTGCGTGTACCTGGAGGATTTAACTTGAATCCACTAAGGGGCAGATCAGGTCATCCCTCCCTCATTAACTTCTTTGACAACATCCGAAACAACGTAAACAAACCAAACATAGCGACACTCGAGCAGGTCAAGATTTGAAGTGGTGCTAATTAGCAGAGTTTCAGGAGCGGGACCACACATCAAGCGCGTCATCGCCAGCATTTCCAGAAATACCCACACGTCCTAAGTCCTCCCCTTCGCCCTCGTATCCTGCCTCCCTCCCTCCCACCCCTTTCTCTGTCCTGCCTCCTGATCTCCTTCCTCCTCTCCATAGGTTTATAGGGGGTCCGTCGTGCCCGGGTGCTACGGCGGATTTCCCTATCGTAGCTTCCCCACAACGCTTTCTAATGTCTATTCAGCTACCGCAAGCTTCATGCATCTTCTGTTCGTTAATCAATAAATCATTTAATCATACCTGTTGATTGCGGTCCTTGCTAGTGAATGAGACATCATAATGATCACGGTAATTGCAGACTAGCTCCAGGAGTTTTATTGTAAACATCCTTTTTTTAAGTCTGCTGCTGACCTTCTTCTTCTTCCTTTGTGTTTAATAGCGATTAGCAAACTAACTGCACACCGTCACCACCTGGTCTGGCGTGTAGAACAGGAGTTTGCTGCTAACCTGCCTGTCAGATGGACATACTGCCCCCACGTTCATGTGCTGAATTGCATCTTGTGGAAGTGTAGCGTTAATTTCTGGAGATGTGCACAACCTACGCTCCAGAGGAACGCAGGATACGCGTGGCAGCCATCTTGCGTACACGAATGCGTAGTTAAAAGCAAGCATATCCAGGGCTTTAGTCCTTGCTCCAGTTCGATCTGTGGCCCTGTCCTGCATCCACTCTCTCTCTCCTACATCCTGTCTCTCTCAAGCTGTCCTATCACGCGTAATCATTTAGATGTGTGGACAACGTTGCACATTTTGCAACATGTCTTTATACCTAACAAAATAGGTTGTTTGTCAATGCCAGTCTGGTGACCAGACCTCAACTATGCAGTTTGGTTAGGTTTAGGCAATAAAACTACTTGGTTAGGTTTAGGAAAAACATTGTGATTTGTGTTAAATGAAGTACATTACTTATGTCACCTGAAGTAAATCACGTGACTTAAGTCAGTAACACAGTTTAACTTTATGAAAAACCTGGGTTTGACCGATCCATCCATCCCATCCACCTTATATGGACTTTCCCCTTCTTTAAATTAGTCACCCACTTCCTCCTTTGCTACCGCTGTGCAGCCGCTAGAGGTCGCAGCCACAATAAACGCAAATATATATTGTAATAACGTGCTTTTAGTTGTTTTTCTGGTGAGGACAGGCTGTGTAGACAATCGCTATTGGACCGTCCCACAAGCAGTTCTGATGGATTATCCTGCCGCCTTAAATCAGTAAATGTCTGTGGTTTGATTTTGATTATGGATTATTATCTGTCCGTTAAAAGTCCCCCAACTTTATCAACTTTAACACTTTTATCCAAAGCAACTTACAGCTGCTCTACATGTCAGAGGTCGCACGCCTCTGGAGCAACGAGGGGTTAAGTGTCTTACTCAGGGACACGTTGGTGTCTCAGTGGATTCTCACACCAAAGGCATGTGTCTTATCCACTGCGCCATTGCCAGTGCAGTGCTGATTCAAAATGTGCTCTTCAAAATGGTTTTACCTACAGTAGAAATATCACTTAAACTAGATAATGCAGAGTTTCTTTAGAACTTCATTACACTCTTACAACTCTGTTTCAATACGTTTGTTTCTGACGTGTATCAAACCTGCGTGATGATGACCTGCTCCACTCTGCGCTGTTCTCTAGTATATTTATTTATTTATTCTGACATGTCCAAATTGCACCAAAAGTGACCCTGCACTCCCTTGGGTCTGCAGCAACACGCCCGCTACGTGTGAGGTCGTTTGGATGAACTGTTCTTGATATAATCAAAATACAAACAGACACACACACAGATTCCCGCCTTTATTAGAGAGATAATGCCAAAAGACTTAGAACATGATGGGAGTAAAACTCTCACTGAAACCCCTCAAATCATTGATTTCTAGTTTCTCTTCACTCTTTGTTGTATTTTCTGCTCTTTTATCAACAATCAAGTGCATGAACTAAGTAATAAGTGTTTTTCCTGGTCCCGCCTGAAGTATTGTTGGCACAGATGTATCGATACAATATCTGAGCGTTAGGTTTCATTCTTCACCTTGGGCACCTCTGTGATAAAATATTCTGAACTCAAGGTTCACTTACTAGCTCACCACCTTCTTCAGGTGTTTAGTATTATTTATGCCAATGTTACTGAAGGTGAGGGTGTAGCATTGACTTCACCAACATGGCGGGCAGCTGTGAGGCTGACCTCTGCTGGACTGGAACAATTGTGAAATTGATCATCGGTACAAAATAATAGGTCAATTTTGTGGCATTTTTAGCCATGCTAACAGCGTAGTGGCTCTAGGGATGGCACTCTCGGTCTGTTGGTCCACCACCACTGGAATATCTCATGAAATGTGGTTCAGACATTCATGTTCCCCTCAGGATGAACTATTTTGGTAATCCCTTAACTTATCATCTAGGGCCACCATCTGGTCCACATTTTTCAACCTCACAGAGCTGTTAGCGTGGCTCCGTAACCATTTTTAACCATTGTTGTAATGCTGTGTTTGTAAACCAGTCATCAGAATCAGGTTTATTGCCAGGTGTGTGAAGAACATTTATTTATGCATAAAATATGACTGTAATGGAAAAGATAAAGAAATATTTTTTCTTTACAATTTCACTACATTGTCCATAATTATTGATTAATCAGTTAGTATTCCCAGAAGCTTGTCTTTCCCCCGTGTATGTCCTCCTTGTTTGACTGCTGTCCTGACAGTGTGTTTTCTCTTCAGTGCTGCTGACCTGGGTGAACTGCTCCAGCGTTCGTATGGCCACCAGGATCCAGGACATCTTCACGGTGGGGAAGCTGATGGCTCTGGGCCTCATCATTGTGGTTGGCCTGGTGCAGATCTGCAATGGTAACATCCTCGGTCTAAGGCCTAAAGCTTTACTGCTCCCTGAAGTTAAAAAACAAACCTTTAAATGTCTGATTTGTCTTCCAGGGAACTACGAGGCGCTGACTCCTCAGGTGGCCTTCTCCGTGGACAGCATGCCGTCGGTCGGGCAGATCGCGCTGGCCTTCCTGCAGGCCTCCTTCGCCTTCAGCGGCTGGAACTTCCTCAACTACGTCACGGAGGAAGTGGTTGAACCCAGACGGTGAATATTTCTGCTTCTAATCACATTCTCAGCATCTGCCACTGCTGGAACAGTGCAAATGTTCAGCTTCCATCTCAGCTTGTTTCTTAGTTCTGTTTGATTTCGCTGGTTTTTCAAGGGCAGTTTTCATCTAAATCAAATCTTAAAGGAATAGTTTGACATTGTGGAATATGTGTTTTATTCACTTTCAGGCATAGAGTTCGATGAGAAGACTGATACCTCTCTAATATCTGTTCATGAAATATGAAATATCCAGCAGCCAGTTAGCTTAGCTTAAGGTAAAAATTGGAAACAGGGGGAAACGAGTAGCCTGGCTCTGAGCAACGGGAACAAAATCCGCCTACCAGCACCTCTAAAGTTCACTGATTAATCTGTAAAAGTGTGTTTTTAGTTTGTACATAAACTAAAGTGTAAAATGACAATTCAACTTTTTCACAGACATTATATATTTCTCGGCTAGGAGCAGTTACTTCCTGGGATTTCTGCTAGTTGCCTGCCAACTCTTTGGAATAAAGAAAGCCTGGCATATTAAAAGGAATTGTCATTTTTACACCACGTCTTTTGTGTGGATAAAACAAACAAGACATTTTCAAACTATTCCTTTAATATCTGTCCTTAGACTACATCTACACTTTTTTGTTGAGTGATATTCCACATTGTAAATGTTCTGTTTTTATTGTTTTGTTACCAGATTAAAAACAAATTATATTACAATAAGGGTGAAAAAATCAGCCTTTAAAAATACCATTTGCAACACAAACACCCTAAAGTTTAACAGTTTCCTTCTAATTTTGTAGACGGAGTCATAATCAGTGGCCCATTTGCTTTTTCTCACACTTTCTGAACTGTGTTCATGTCTTCTTGCAGCAGGAAACACAATACAATTTGAGTATGTGTGTTCATTGGGAGATAATCCATTTAAATGGAGTGTGTCCTTTTAAAAAGGAAAATTTTAAGAGGTAAAATTGATTAAACAAATCAAAACACAAATTGTTCAGCCTGTTCTCATTCCCAGAGCGTCTTTCTCCGTCTCATATCCGCACTTATGGCATCCTTTTGCTGTTGGAGCCATTGTTCAATGCCGAAAGTACTACTATAGTGTACTGTTTATAGAGTAAAGAGGTGGTTTGGGGTGGATATTGTGGGACCAAAAACGACTTTCACCCAGGAGACCGGTGTTTGTTAGTAAAGTAATTATTTTAATCCAAACCATGATCTTTTCCTAAACCTAACCAAGTAGTTTTGGTGCCTAACTTTAGCGAACTGCGATGTTCCACAACGTTAACCACTAGTTTTATTTCAAACTGCAACCAGACGTTACAAATTTATACTTGCGACCTTGAGCGTGAAGCCCTATACGAACAAAATCAAGGTTAAAGGGTACCCAGGGTGTTAAAAAGCGACACAGAGGGGTCTTGACAAAGCGTCCATATGTGACACCCTGAGATGAGAACAGGTTGACTTTTTACAGTTACAGATTTTTTGTTTTATAAAGAACATGAATATTTCAAATACAATTTAAATAAACCCATTACAATTTCTCGCGCCTTAGATGAACTTTGATGCATGTTTCATTGCTCTATGGTTTTGGTTTTGACTGTATCATCATCTGTGGATGGTGTGCGGCCTCGGTCAGGAATCTACCTCGTGCCATCTACATCTCCATCCCATTGGTGACCTTTGTGTACACGCTCACCAACATCGCCTACTTCTCCTCCATGTCTCCCGAGGAGCTGCTGTCATCCAATGCCGTGGCAGTAGTGAGTAATGTGGCCTCATGATAACTTTTAACCATTTAGGTCAGTGGTGGTCGGGAATCAATTATTAGATCAGGAACATTAGAAGCAACCAAAGGAGGAATAAAGGTCAGAGGCGTTAGCCTCACTTTTAAATGTGTTTCTTGAAGGTTGTAACCACCTTTATTTCCATCTGCTCTGCTGTCCATTTTCTGTTGTTGGATATTGATGGTGGTACAGTGTCGTACTCTTAACTGTGTCTATTTTGTAACTGTGGTCATTGTTACAAATCTGTTCAGAGAAATCGAAGACAAATTTCCACTAAGGTGGACAATAAAGTCTAACAATAATAATAATTATAATAGACTTATGTTCAGTAAAAATTGTATTTACTGAGTCTGATGGCAGCAGGCTACCCACTGGACTGGCCAAAGCATTGGGAAAAAATGGGGTTCAGTGTCTTGCCTAAGGACACTTTGATATATGGCCAGGTGGGAATGTAACTAAGTACATTTAAGTTGAGGATTTCCATTTTTATGCTACTTTATATTTCTACTGCACTAAAGTTCAGAGAGAAAAGATGGTACTCTTCACTCCACAACATTTATCTGACAGTTTTAGTTACCAGTTACATTACAAGCTAAGATTTTACATTTAAAGGAGTTGATGAATGTGTGACTACCCAACAGTATATAAAATAGCTCAAATCAGCTCCACCTTGACCAACTACAAAAGAAAAATGTTAATTACACATGAATGCATCAGTAATAATAATAATCTGATGATACAATCAGACTCAGAGCACCTACATCGCCCGACCTGCGCCCACGAGCGGTGCAATGAATATTAGGAACACTTGGTGCTATAAATAGATTTCATATCCCTGATGGAAAGTAGAAAGGTAGCGTGAATATTACATATTATATATTACATACATGACACTGGAACCAAATTTCACGTTGACTGGCAGCCATCATTCACACTTTACTCAACTTGTAGGAGAGTTTTGGTTTATGCTGATTTTTTCCCTCCTTGTCAAAAGTCAAACAAACTCTTGGTTGAATTTTCTGCCTGTAGTTTAAAAGTGAATTCTGATTAACCAAAGTTAGCTTTGCTCAGTTAATATGTCTGTGGGATGAGAACCATATTTTCTTCAGTGGAGGTAAATGTACTATTGCATTTCTCCTCTAACTAAAGTACACTTTAATTCATTTTCATTCAAGTTTCTCTGGGCACTATTAAATACATAGCATTTACATTATTTGAGCAGAGCTTATGCATCCAGTAATTGGGCTAAACTAGACTAGGCTCTCCATTCAGCATGTCCTCAAACCGCAAACTTAAAGGCATCTGAGAATCGGCTTGTCAAATTGTCAGACTTACCTCAACGTTCAGGTCTACCTCGGCTTACTTTGAGACAATAAAAGCATGCTGACAGGAATTTGATCATTTTATTGTGTGTAAGTGCAACGTTAGATATGGGTTACATTTGACCTGTTTGTAGCCCTACATGAAGTCAGAGGATCACCATAATGTCCATACAAAAATTCATTTCGATTCCTTTTGAGATTTACTCAGTAGCTCATGTCGCCACCCCCGTCACCATTAGTGTGGCTGAAAGTGTGCAGCTTTAAAAGTAGCATCAAACGGACCCTGGGTAGCCTTGTTTCTCACTCAGAAACATTTTCTGAAAAGCACATAAACCAGCCATGAAAGCCCACGTGGACCACCTGGAGTTCATGTTGTAGTGTTTCCCAGGTCTGTACACATCAGTGATATTCTGTCTGTTCTGCTGTTCAGACATTTGGAGAGAAGTTGCTGGGAATGTTCTCCGTCATCATGCCGATCTCCGTGGCTCTGTCCACCTTCGGAGGAATCAACGGCTACCTGTTCACCTCCTCCAGGTGAGATCCACTGCTCTGCCTGCTCCTTCACTCTCCGATGCTGCCGTACTGTGGGTGCTGATGGGCTGTCTGATGTTTCTGCCTGCAGGTTGTGTTTCTCCGGAGCCAGAGAGGGTCACCTGCCCAGCCTGCTGGCCATGATCCATTATAAGAACTGCACACCTATCCCTGCCCTGCTGGTCTGCGTACGTACAACCTCACTCTGATGCTACAGTACACTGATCTCAGTTATTGCAAGGGGCTCTGTTGGATTGAGATCTGGTGACTGTGGAGGCCGCTGGAGTTCAGTGAACTCATGTTCAAGAAACCAGCTTGAGATGATTTATAGCTTTGAGACATGGTGCATTATCCTGCTGGAAGTAGCCATCAGGAGATGGTACACTGTGGTCATAAAGAGATGGACACGGTCAGCAAAAAGACTCAGGTAGGCTGTCGTGTTTAAACGATGCTCAGTTGGTACTAAAGGGCCGAAACGGTGCAAAGATAATATCCCCCACACCAGCAGCCTGAACCTCACAAGAGACTCAAAAGACCAGGCAACGTTGTTCCAATCTTCTGGTGTCCAGTGTTGGTGAGCCTGTGCGAACTGTAGCCTCAGTTTCCTGTTCTCAGCTGACAGGAGTGGCCCCCGGTCTGGTCTCCTGCTGCTGGAGCCCGTCTGCTTCAAGGTTCCACGTGTTGTGTGTTCAGAGATGGTGTTCTGCATACCTCGGTTGTAACGAGTGGTTATTTGAATCCCTGTTGCCTTTCTGTCATCTGGAACCGGTCCGTCCATTCTCCTCTGACCTCTGACATCAACAAGGCGTTTTCGTCGTAGAGATGGTTGTGCGTGAAAATCCCAGCAGATCAGCAGTTTGTGAAATACTCAGACCAGCTCGTCTGGCACCAACAACATGCCACGTTCAAAGTCACTTAAATCGCATTTCTTCCCCATTCTGATGCTCGGTTTGAACTTCAGCAACTTGTCTTGACCACGTCTACAAGCCTAAATGCACTGAGTTGCTGCCATGTGGGTTGGCTGGTTAGCTAGAAATTGAAGTGTACCTAATAAAGTGGCCGGTGAGAGTATTTCAAAGCTATTTTTAGCGTTTTAAAGAGCCGCTCTAATAATAAAATTGGTAGTGTGCCCCTTTAATATTCATCACATTGCCTCGCTGTGTCTTTCAGTGCTCTGCCACCGTTGTTATACTCTGCATTGGAGAAACACACAACCTGATCAACTACGTCTCCTTCATCAACTATCTGTCGTACGGCGTCACCATCGCAGGCCTGCTGTACTACCGCTGGAAGAAACCCAACCTGTACCGACCCATCAAGGTAGCAACACTTCTTTTTTTTTTTACCAGAAAGTAACTCACAGTACATTTACTCACCTACTGTACTGTCCAAATGTGAGGTACTACATTCAGACAGCTTTGGTCACTGGTAACTTTACAAATTAAGTTTTTGCAAATAAAAGTATAAAATGTTGTGTTTTTTTATAAAGTAAACTACCCAAACGTTTCATGGTTCAGCTTCTCACATGTGAAGATTTGCTGCTTTTCCTCTGAATGACTGAAATAATTGTACTGTTTGTTAATAATGTTGAGGTTTAGACGTTAGTTGGACACAACAAGGGTTGTGAAAGTGTTCTTGGTAACTGTGACAGCATTTGTCACTTTTTTCAGAATCTTTACAAACCAAACAATCAACTAAAGGAGAAAATAACCAGCAGATTAATTCATAATGAAAATAATCCCAAATAGTTCAAAATGAGCTCAAGATCAGCAACTAAAGCAGCAAAATCCTGCTTTTACATTAATGCATGACGAATATCTACCATACAAGGTACAAGGTTGTTTATTTGTCATTATGCAGCACAAGGCTGTTCCTTCATGCTACACACACAACATGTAATTAAGTTTAGGCCTGTATTAAAATATGGTAACAAAAAATAAAATAAAACAATACAGTTAATTATATATACGTATATACAGACACATATAAGGAAATAAGGATTATTATTATATACACCCAGAATTTTCCACAGTGCATTTTTTGAATTTGCATCTAGGGTGAATGTAAACAGCAGCAACCAGATGATAATATGAAAGTTTCATCTTCACAATAAACAGTCTGACATTTTGGGAAACAAGAGTCCATCCTGACTGAGTTTGAGCACCGAGCATCATCGATGTAAAACACCTCCTCTCTTCTTGCTGGAGTCTTGCACTGACAGCTCGGAACACGGACCACCTGCCGAGTGCTTGATGTGGATGGGGCAGGTCTCCGTAACGATGTGGGCACAACAGTCTCTGAATTCCGTTGTCTGGTCAACATGAGTCCCATTTTGTGTAGACCGGATCTTTAGGAGCAGAATTAAGTCCAAGCAGGGCCAGCATTGGCTCCTCTCCTGGCTCTCTTTGCGATCACTGCACCGTGGCGCCTGGTCCGGTGGATTGGGCCGGGTGGATCGTGGTCCGCTGCTCTTTAATCCAAAAACCCCGTCTTCGTCTTCCGATGACTGGATTTATGTCAGAGGTAACACGTGTTTTGGCAAGAAAGCCAGAAGAAAACAAAAGTGTAGCAAAGTTTGAAGGAGCTACCGGCTGCTGCTTCTACAAGCGCTGCCGGTTTGATAATAATAGTACGACAGTCACCCTGGATGTTCCTGATTATACTTATTCTCACTTTTACTTTACAAACCTTTAACCGCACGTTGTCTGCAGGTGAACCTGTTGGTTCCTGTGTGCTACCTGATGTTCTGGGCGCTGCTGCTGGGTTTCAGTCTTTACTCAGAGCCGGTGGTTTGTGGCGTTGGTTTAGTCATCATGCTCACCGGGGTGCCCGTCTACTTCCTGGGCGTCCATTGGAAAGAAAAGCCAAAGTGTATCTACACCTTCATTGGTGAGTCTTTTTAAAAAAAGGAGGTGTGATTGAAGGTTTGGTCTCTGTCTGTCACAGTTAACATATAACTCTTGCTGTTTTCCTGCAGAGAGGGCGACGTACGTGGGCCAGAGGTTGTGTTTCGTGGTCTTCCCTCAGTTTGACCCCATCGAGATCGCCGGTCCTTCAGAATGTACTGACCGGTCATCAGGCAGGATCAGTTCGTCTGCCAATTCTTAAAACTTCTTTTCAGAATATATAAGAAGATCTTTGTTTTTATTCCATTACTGAGTGAGTCCAGACGCTTCCTCATGGAATGGGAGCTTCCTGTCTGACCATTGACCCTCCAAGACTCTGGTTTCCCTTCAGTCGAGTGGAACCGCCTGTTCTTCTGTGCGGGCTGCTTGCACTTTTTATTTTCTTCTCTTTTCTACTAAGTCGTCAAGTACAACAACCTAATGCCAACAGTGTGGCACAGTGAAAAAGGACTTTTATTCCCATTTTTAGACCCATTTGTTTCTTTTTCTGTAACATGACAGACCTCTGACCGACTGACAGTGCGCGGTTTTTATTTCTTCTGAATGTTGCTGGTGTTTTATCGTGCCTTATGGCCTTTTCACACCAAGTTCCAGACAAATATATAGTCATTATTCTGAAAACAGAATGAAAACAAACGCTAATTATTTCAGAAAAGATCTGCAGTTGAGTGAATGCCAATCCTGCATCCTCGTCTGCTGGAACAAGGGTTTGAAACAGCATTTTAGGCATGTGTATCACTAATGATCAATAACGTACAGCCACCGTCCTTATAGAGCAGAGCTTCAGATTCTGTTACTGTAACATAAATTACTTAAATCCAGCCCTGAACAAAAACTTAAAACAGGATAAATCATAATGATTTTGGTGATCCACTGACTTTTCCTCTAGCGCCACCGTGAGGTTAACATTTGACATTCCCATCAGCCTCATCTTTACTTTGCATTTAGAACTAATCAGCAAATGTCAGCATGCTAACATGCTAAATGAAGCTGGGTACACGGTAAACATTATACATGCTAAACATCAGCATCACTGTCATTGTGAGCATGTTAGCATTCAGCTCAAAGCACCGCTGTGCCAACGTACAGCCTCGCAGAGCTGCTAGCATCGCTTTAGACCATTTGATTTAAAGATATAATGTTAAAGAACACCTTTTCCCACAAGCCCAACATCTTCGAGGTTAGTAGTTTGTAGTTTTGGTTTGCAGCTAACAAATAACTTGCTCTAGTAGATACTCATTTATCGTAGAATATGGACAGTAAACAGAACACGTTTCACTTTTTCAGAAACACCAGTAAAAGTTACTCTCAGTGAGAGATTGCATTGAGTTTCAGAAGCTAGTGGAGCGGCATCCAAGCAGGATGTTAACGTCAAGACTTCAACTCTCTCTACTCCATCTTGTTTACTTTCAGTTTAGGGTCTCTTCTGAATTTGTTTTAGACAGCAGAATATGGATTTTGTTATTACGCAGACTTTAAACCCACATGAACAACACCGAAAATGAAATGGTTCTGAATAAAAATGCCCCATTTTTATTCATGTCACGTCATGGATTTGAATTTATTCTGGGGGGTTTTATTAGGGAGTTTCTTGGAAATGTCAGACTTGGTGTGGAAAGGCCTTCAACTGGGGAAATATGTGTATATTCAAATGTTGTTTATTAACTGATTCGCTATATTAGATTTTAATATATTTTGTGAGTGCCATTGTGTATTGCATTTGATTATTTGTAGAAGCACTTTGGTTTCCCTGCCGTTCAGTATGAACTCTTTTCCTCTCATTTGTACAAACCAGATGGTGTTATATCCTGGAGATCAGAAGCAAGCTCGAATTTATTAATCTCTTGTTAACAAAATTGTAAATTTTACTTACTGCTGGGCTCCCATCGACCCACATCAACCTGGTTTGTTGAACTGATTAACTGACTTTCACTGTGATTGTACTCAGATATAGAAATGCAGCAAAGTAAGATTTTAAAATGCTGTTGTGGCAGCTTTTGTTATGTTTATTATGTGTGACTGCGACAGAATTGTCCCTTTTTACAAATATATCTCCATGTAGTTCTACTTCTTGTTAATCCCTTTGCTTAAGGTGGCTCTATCAATAGTACAAAGCCTACATCCAGTAACTTCTGACTCTGTGTGTGTGGTGACTTATTATATATTTAATATGACACACAGCACTCTGCAGGTGTTACCACTGATATATCTTTCAGCTTTTGTTGTCAGACAACTGTGCTGTTATAAAACAGTGACTTAAATCAGCATTAAACAAGAAGTTACCCCTAACGTATCGGTCAGTTAGCATGTTTAGACTCTGGATCAAATCATTATTTCATACCTGTGCAGTTGTTTGACACATAAAAACAGACAGATGTATCGATGACTGAGTGCCTGTATTGTGATACTCCACAATGCAAAATATAATAATCAATAGCAGAGTTTATGTTCATGCAACAAACAAGCCTACAGTTTCTCGAGTCTCATGGACGTCTCTGAGCAACTGTGCTGCACTTATAATGGTTATAATGGTAATACGTGCTGTTTGCCAGTTAAAATCTAAAACTTTTTTTTTTTTTTTACAATAAATCTGTGTCTCTGGTTTAAACAGTTCAGAATACAAGTTCATGACATACACACTTGTTACTAGTGGTTTTGAATGCTAGCAGGCTAACTGTGTAGCCTCAAGCTGTGCCCCAATGCCATGAAACATACCAACTGTATATCACATGTACTGTGTACCGTAAAACTTCAATTAATAGCCCAAAATGACTTCTATAAAAATCTGGCTTTTATTGGTTTCAATCACTGAACTCACCCTGCTTGTTTCTGGGACGAGCCTTTAATTCCTTTCCCACAAAACACTCACTCCGCAAAGATGGGAATGAGGCTGCTATCAAATTGTTTATTTCAACCACTATGAATATTGTGTAAAAATGTGCCTTTTTTTCGTCTCTGTTCTTTACCGTACCGGTAAATCCGAATTGTTTCGTTAAAATGAACTAAACGATTGAATTGTCTATCGATCTCACTGTATCGAGGTGCAGCATGTCCACCTTGACAAGTTTAAAGAGGTGTTATTCTGCTAATTTTCAGGTTCAACATCACTTATTTAGAGGTTGTACCACAACAGGTTTACATAATATTTTTGTCATACTGCACATTGCTGCAGCTCCTCTTTTCAGCCTGTGTTGAAGGCTTCGTTTTAGCTATGGAGTGATACATCTTGTCTCTAAATGATCTTTGTTGGGAGTTGCACATGCTCAGTTCCTAGTTAAGGACTACTAGCCAATCAGAAGCAGAGAAGGGCGGGTCGGCGAGAAGCCGGTAAACGGCTCGGGTTCAGCCGTGTTGCCGACCGGCTCGGCAACACGGACTGGAGCGAGAGTTTCAGAGCGGTGAGTTATTAATCTGTATCCATAAAGTTTTAACTGAGCTCTGTCTCTACATCACAGGAACAACTTTATGTCCACTGACTGCCTGGAGGGTAGCTAGTGTTTGGAAGGGAGAGGAGAGCTGTGTGCTGCAGCTCGCTGTTTCTGAGGGTGTGTCGGAGTAGCCGCTCGGCGAGCGTTATATGAGGCGCATTTAGCGTCTGGACTACAAACGAGCTGTTTTCAGTTCAGAGCAGAGTTTTCTGTGGGAGATGGGAACTCCCTTTGGACTGGACTTTGGACTTTTTCACTTTGTAAACCTGTTACATGCACAAAAAAGGTTTATAACTCAATAAAGGAGAGGGGAAAAGCCAAAAAGCAGAATACCAGCTCTTTAAACATTTATATTTGTATACAAAATCTAAGCAGCTTAGAAGCAGCTCATGCGGGCGACCCGCTGGGCTTTAAGAGGTTAAGAAATTCTACAAAAATCACACCAGGCTTCTAATTGAGGCACAGGCGTCAAACTGGGACTCAGCTTTTAATTGAAGTTTTACGGCATTAATCTTTGTAATAACATAGCAATCTAAACTAGTATAAGATACTTTATAGCTAATGAAATATCACTGCCAATGTTTGTTTTTAAAGATATTTCCATTTCCCTGCACTGTAGCGGATATACAACCCAGCGTATATCAAAAACATGTATTCTGACTTTTTTGAGTGCACTTAAAAGGTAACTTTTCCAGTAAAACCACGCTATGTTTCAAAATGTATATTACATTCTTTCTCTTTGTTTCGCCTGCTTCTGCTTGAATGTAGAGACCAACTGACTGAAAATATTTCTGTATTTTAATATTTTGTTTGTTGTTGTTTGAGTATTGACGTTACAGTAGTGATTTTAAGACTAAAACAGAACACGAGTTGAACTGTATTTTAACACAGAAGTCATATGTCAGTTCTTCCAAGACTAACCCCAAATAAATCAACATGATTTTATTAAGCCTCTCATTGAGAAGCAAAATGTCTTCAAGAATCCACAGCAAATCCACTCGCCTTTGACATCTGTGTTTCCATCTTTATAGACTAGAGGGGTGGGGGGGATTCATTCTGTTGGTTAATAACATATAAAAAGATTAAATCCAGGGGATCAGGAACACCACAGCCTTCACCTGTCTCGTGATGTCTTGGACATGCAGACACTTTTACACTGTAAATTATTTGTAAAGCATCCAGTGTTTACGATGGGATCATTACCTGGAGTGTTAACTTGGATGTATTTTAGAGCACTTTTTTGTAAAAATGAGTGAATAACTGTAGTAGCAGAATAAATTGAGAATGAACTGGAATACGACTGGTGTTGTTCATCTTTCTGAGCCGTGCTGATGGACTTAAACTACACTACCGGTCAAAAAACATGTTTGTATGTAAATATAAGTAGTTTCTCATTACAAGTTACCCTATTTAAAATGTAATAGTAGTGTAACTATTTCAATTCCTTTTTTATTACTTTACATTTTTATTACTTTACATATTACAAAATTTCTAATGGATATTTTTAGCAGTTAACCATTTTCTAAAGACAGCTCGAGAGGCGGTTTAACTGGCAGAAGGGTGGCGCTGCAAATTCAAATAGGAGAACCAATCAGAAGCATCACAACAGCATCAAACTTTACTAAACAGCTGTGGCTTGTAACGGCAAATATAACTACCGTTATACATTCCTCTCTCACCTCTGGTATTGTTCCCTCAGCTGCAATAACTCCTATACTTAAGAAACCTGGTGCAGACACCAAGAATTTCAACAACTTCCGTCCTATTTCTAACCTGCCTTTTCTTTCTAAAATCCTTGAAAAAACAGTTGCATCTCTGGTCCATGCACACGTCTGACGATAACCTCTATGAAAAATTCTGGTTTCCGTTCCTGCCATAGTACAGAAACAGCGATGGTAAAAATCACCAATGATCTTCTCATGGCAGCTGATTCCGGAGTACTAACTATTCTCATCCTCCTTGAGCCTTTGACACCATCTCTCATAACATCTTCCTTGACAGATTAGTCTCTATTGGTTTCACTGACACACCCTTGGACTGGTTTAAATCATGTATCCCTTGGCCATATCTTCTGTAAATTAAACATCCATATCCACTGCTATGCAGATGACACCCAGCTCTACCTGTCCACCAAACCTACCACATCCCTCCCTCCCACCTTCCTCTCTGATTGCGGAAATCAAATCCTGGTTCTCTTGCAACAGTGACAAAACCGAGGTTCTCCTCATTGGCACCAAATCCACTTTGACTAAATCTGACAGTTTTTCTCTTACCATTGACAACTCCACAGTTTCCCCCTCCCCTCAGGTCAAGAGTCTGGGTGTGATCCTCAACAGCACACTTTCATTTCAAGCTCACATTAATAAAATCACTCGGTCTGCTGATGATCGTTGATTATTGTAATTGTCTTCTCGTTGGTCTTCCTCTCAAATCCATACTTAAACTTCAACTGGTTCAGAACTCTGCTGCCCAGATCATCACCAGAACTCCTCCTATTAATCATATTACTCCTGTCCTTCCGCAGCTTCATTGGCTTCCATTTAAATACCGCATTGATTTCAAGAATCTGCTCCTGACCTTCAAGGCCATTCATAACCTCGCTTCTCGGCACCTCACTGACGTCCTTCATATTAACACCCCCATCCGTACTCTTAGGTCTTCTTCTTCTATTCGCCTCACTGTGCCTCCTGCTCGTCTGACCACCATGGGGTTCAGAGCCTTCAGCCGCTCGGCCCCTCGTCTCTGGAACTCTCTTCCACCAGACATCCGCAACACTGACTCGCTTTCCATTTTTAAATCCCGCCTGAAAACGCATCTTTTTAAACTGGCATATCCCACGTGATCACTCAATCTTTGTTTCCAGTTGTTTTGTACCCTGATTTTAGGCACTGTAATTACTGTACTGTTTTATTATGTTTTGTGAGGTGACCTTGAGTGTTCAGAAAGGCGCCTATAAATAAAATTTATTATTATTATTATTATTATTATTATTATTATTATTATTACTGTGCACATGAAAAACATGCAAAGCAATGAAATGAAATAAATCCCTTCACTAAATTCTATTGGTGCAGAATAACTTCATAATAGAATAACATTCATTACTTGAGCCCTGAAAGTTGTATGTCTCTTAAATTTACATTATTTCTCAGTTTTGCTGACCTAAACTTTGTCTTCAGCTTCTTTGGTTATTCTGTAGCAGTGGAAGGAAATTAAGCCTTGAAACACATTTTTACAGTAAACACTTTGGAACAGCCTGAACACCCTCAGAAGCTTTATTTGTACAGTATTGCAACAAAAAAGGCAAATAGTGAAGGAAGACAGACCAGTTGGTTGTTGATAGATCCTACAGTGAAAAACTTCTTAACCCTTTCATGCCACTACAGTGGACAGATGTTTGGAAGCCATTTTGGGCATTTAAGTTATTTCCCAACCACCACGTGGCGGACCCCCAAAGCGTTGTTTACTATCCCATATGATTACTATCTGTTACATCTCTGTCATTTTGATATAGTGCATCTTAACTTCAAAATAACAGAAGGATGTGGCGATGCACCAAGTTTCTCAGCAATAACTGTAAAATCCTTTTATTCTCTGAAAACTAGACCAGTTAAAAAAATATTTTCCAACTAAATAGGTTGTTAGAAATACTTTAATACAGATTTTAATTCTATATTTATTGTACATATTATGTGACACCTGCCCACTCCAATGGATGTTATGCGCCAAAGGGTTTGTTCTGCCTTTGTAGAATCTGCCTTAGTTTTATTTAAAATGATGATATAATTTGCACTTGAATAACTTTATGTATTACATCACTTGTTTTTAGTAAATGTTTTTAAAAAATTGTTTTTTTGGACCTACATTGAGTGCCACTGAATCACTTTTGGTGCACATTTCAAAATTTAACGTGTTGTTGAAAAAAGATAGGCATAATTTTTATTTTACTTGTTTAAAGACAAACAAAAATGAGTACTTTGTGATTTAATAATTAATGCATGAAAGGTTTAATTTATTTGTTAATTTTAAATCTGAAAATGTTTTGGTGAAGTAAACGTTGTTTTTAAGTTCTCATTTAAGGTTTTTCACTGGACTTGAACTACTTAGATTTACACTTTTAAAGGTCTTGAAAAAGAAAAAAAAGAAACTTTTGAGTTGTTCTGTTGTTCTAGATGAACTGGCTCTATGTGAGGTGCTGATCTACACTATCAGTGATCTACATGGTGACGTAGAAGTCTAAACAGGAAGTGCAGACAGCACGCGTTTCTGTCCCCACATGACCGCACGTTACAGCTGCTGTCACCATAAATGCCGGTGAGTTTATTTAATTCAGAGTTAGACAGATTATAGATAAACGCGTGTGTCAACACAAGCGTGTCTACAATCTGAATGACTGTTTATTGTAGCTAACGGCACGTCGAAGCAGAGAGTGTAGAATGTTAGCATAGCATAGCCCTGATTGATGCGTTCAACCAAACTACATTCAGAAATGTCGCAGTTTAAAAGATGCGTACTTGTTGGTCAGAGAACGGACTTGCCAGAGTATGAATTTTATCTAATTACAAATCTTTATCGCTCTCTAGTTTCTTCGGTTTACGTTTGATTAGTTAATTTCAATTTCATGTCTGTAAACTCTTTACTTATTTCAACTCTTACCGGTAGAGAAAGCCAGATTAATTTGCTGACCTGTAGGAGTAGCTGGAGACAGAAGCGGTACAAAAAGTTAATGGTATTTGTTATATATGTGGCATGGTGATGTTATTGTTTGCCGGCTCGAAGAATAAAATACACAAATTCAGGTCTGAAGTTGAATGTGTTCAGTTGTCTTTTACTTGGGCCAGAACCGACACCACATTAAATCAGCTGATTTTTTTAACAGAGTTTCGCGTGTGGTGAAAACGAGGCTTCCCGCGGTAAAACGAACCCAGAACTGTCGATAACTTAAATCCCAGTGTTTACAGGTGAGCGTCTGGATGACTGGTGCCCGTCTGCGTTGTTGACAGGACGACTGAGCCGCCAGGATGGCAGCAGGCAGGCTGAGCTTCAGAAACATCACCGCCCTGGCTCCGATGGTCCGGGTGGGGACTCTGCCCATGAGGCTGCTGGCTCTGGACTACGGGGCTGATGTGGTTTACTGTGAGGTGAGGATGGAGGCTTTGACAGAGGAAAATAAATCAGACATCAGTGTTTAAAAGTGTTGTTAACTGTTTGCTGTCTCTTGCAGGAGTTGATCGACATCAAAATGGCCCAGTGTCAGAGGGTGGTGAACGGTAAGAGTCTGTTCACACTCACACCGGAGGCTGAAGATCCAGACCGACACGGGACAAAGGCAACAACACACACCTCATGTTTGTTTTTTAATTGTGTCAGAGGTGCTGGAGACGGTGGATTTTGTGGCTCCAGATGATCGAGTGATGTTCAGGACCTGTGAGAGGGAGAAGGGCCGAGTCGTCTTCCAGATGGTGAGACGGGAAACAGTTTGGACCGGACAGCGTGAACGTTTTCCTCCCATGTTTTCATTCGCAGAGCCCTGAGTCTTCTCTTCTTTTTTTTGTTATTTTTCAGGGAACCGCTGACCCAGACAGAGCGCTGAGCGTGGCCCGGCTTGTGTGAGTCTCTGACCCTTTAATTCCCTGCTAATGACACAATATGAACGTAGTTTCAGAGTGAACACCATACGTACAAGATAAGTACGTAGCGTGACATTAAGACACAGGCTGAAAATCTGTTCTATGATAAAGGATAATTTGGATATTTTTAAACCTGGACCCTATTTTCACGTATTTTGGTGAGGAAATGACTCGTTGGTACAAAAAGATTTCTGATCTGTACATTAGATGCTTCAGCCAGCAGCAACATATTCCTGCGGGGCAACTGCGCCCGTCAAAATGACGTCCACAAAAAGCGCTTCTTGTTGCCACAGGCTCAGACTGTTACCGCAGTGACATCATCGTGGAAAGGATCCCTATGGGGGACTACAGGGGCCCCTCGTTGGTTTTAACAGGAAACTGAAGTCTCGCTCAGGGACAGTTATGGTGGCGATGGAGCAGTGGATAAGACGCTTGCCTCTGGTGTCCCTGAGTAAGACATTTAACCCGTAGCTGCGTGTGACCTCCAACATGTACAGCAATCGTAGGTCAATTTGGATAAAAGCGTCACTTTGTGTTGTGGTGGGACATAAAGGCGTGATGATACAAGTGCGTCAGGAGACCTGACGATGGTCAAAAACAACATGAGAAGATTTTGAACAATATTTCTAAGAAATATGAAATGCTGAAATATGAGTTGGGTTCTTCCCCAGAAGATTTAGAGTTTTAAACACTTAATTTCCTGCATTCTGGAGACATTTTCTGCTTCATTTCACTGTGGAAATGTCTTTATTTATATAAAGAGAGTTGGCAGGTGACAATTCATGAATATAAAATATAACCGATAAGCAGATTTGTTTCTCCTATATTTAATTCACGCTCTGAAAACTCGAGAGAGGCGAGTTGTTGCCGGACGACGAAACACGAGTCAGAGTTGGAGAGAGGAGTTTGTTGTGTTGGCGTACATCAAGTCTCACCTGCAGGTCCTTTACGTACAGAAATAGGGCTGAACGACGAATCCTTTTCAAATGGAAATTGCGATTTGAAAGAACGCGATTAGCTAATCGTGAAGACGGCGATTAAAATGTAGGTTAATTATACATCTGACTCGTTTTAAACAGTCATGCAGTTACAAATTAAGTCCGTTGTCGTCCTTTTGTGACCGACCTGGGCCTTGTTTCAGGAAGCAGGTTCAACAAACTCTGAGCTGTCAAACTCCAAGTTTTCGGTTTCAGAAAGGCCGATCGGAATAAGTCAATGGAGCTCCGATGCTACGATTCACCACGGCAGCGGCTAAATAAAGGCAGAGCCTTTTAATCGGGTGGAGCTAGAAATATGAACACTTGCCAACGCAGACCATGATAGGCTCTAAAACGCAGGATTGATACGTTAACAATATCAGGCTCCATTTTATACAGCGCTGCTCATTCATCATTTACCAGACTGGAGTTTCCTTAATGAATAATTCTCCTGCAGCCTGTTTTAAACAGCTACAGTCCTGTTTATTCAGCTGGAGCCTGACGGGACTAAACGCCGGTGGCAATAACTGAAGATGAAAATATTAATGGAACAGATTAGACACAGTTTAGGCTCCTCATGGACCTGTGATTGGAAAGCCACAGTCCGCCTCAGTAGGTCTATTAATGATTTCTTTGTAATGTAAAATGTGTCTAGCTTCAAACTGACTGTGAAGTTTTAGACGTCTATGTTACATTAATAAAATCTTGCTCATTTCGTATTTTATTAAATGCTGTCAAAACACATTCAGACGATCAGCAGAGAATGAAAAACTCACTTTTAAACTACATGTATTAGTTTCAGCTGCACCACAGTCATCCTCACTCAGAGATATTCACATCATATCCAGCTGATAACTACGACAGGAATGTTCAGTCAGTGCGACTACAAGATGAAAGGTCACTGTTCATTGATCAGTTTTATACAGATTAGTAATTTAAACAGTGAATACTGCAGCACTGTAGCACACAATAAGTGTTTTTGTGCCAACCTGACAGCTGCAGAAATGTCCACAGAGTCACTGAGTTATTAAGAAGGACAGTGTAGCTTATAGATTTTATTCTGTGCTGAGGATAAGTTTACAATGTCCAGAGATAACTCTCTGTCCAAACATCGATGACAGACTGATCATAAAAGCATCATGTTTGGGTAAAGAAAAAAACTAACAGCCTATTTAACCGTGATTTTGATGTTTCTAAAGACGTAATTGCGTTCATATATGTGCTATGATATCGACAGTCTGAATGAGGAAATGTCAGAAGGTCATTTCAGGATCTGCAGGAGGGGAGGAGTCAGAGAGAATCTCAGCGTTAGTTGACGTAAACCTCGTCCCGAGCAGGTCAGGTTCACGGCGTAAGTTGCCGGGGTTACAGACCTAGACTTTGATTTGTTCAGATTTTTGTGCTTCTACCAAGGTTAAGTAGCTACGGAGTTAAATTGTTTCTGTACGACCAGTTTGTCTCTGCCGTTCTGCGTCTGGTTCATCTTCTCTGTGCTGCTTGATGCGGCTTCCGTCATAAATAGACTGGCAGTGAATATCAAACTTTAGCTAAACTAAAAAGTTTTAAAAAACACAAATCGAATCGTAACGGCAATATCTGGCAGAAAAATCGCAGTTAGATTTTTTCCCTCAAATCGTTCAGACCTTCTTCGTGCATAACAAACTCCTTTATTGTCGTTCAGATTATACAACAGCAGAGTGAAATAGTGTTTCTCCAAGCTCTATGTGCAAATATAAACATTAAAAGGCAAATACACGTAGCACAACAACAAATAGACAACATAAAAAACATTATACAGTGTTGGATTATTGCACAGAGTAACAGTAAATAAAATTCTCACAAGATTTCAGAGTGAGAACTGTCCTAAAGCGAGACTTCAGTTTCCTGTTAAAACAAAGTCGGTCACCAGGAGTCCGTCGCGGCGACCCTTTGTGATGTCGACCTGCTGTAACAGTCTGAGGCAGAAAGCTGGTGCATTTTCCCTGAAGGAATATTTTGCAGCCGGTTCAGCTGCCGGCTGAAGCGTTTACTGCACGGATTCAAAACTTTGTACCTTCTAGTCATTTCAACACCAACAGATGTGAAGAATACAGAAATGATCCTTTAACATTTAAATATGAAAGAAGAATTATGCTCAAAGTACGAACTCACTCGCAGAGTCTAAAAGAATATGACTATAAAAATATAATAAAATGAATAATAATGAATAATGAATAATCTGCAGCGGTGAACGGGCCATCTTGTATCCCATGATGCATTGCTGAATCTGGTTAATGTTGTTGTCGCTCAGGGAGAAGGATGTGGCTGCTATCGACGTGAATATGGGCTGCCCCAAAGAATACTCCACCAAGGTGAGTTTCCTGTCTGTGACCAACCTGCTGCTGCTCTGACCTTTGACCTCTGGCTGACCTCTGACCTCTTGCAGGGCGGGATGGGAGCAGCTCTTCTGTCGGATCCTGACAAGATCGAGGCGGTGAGTACTTCAACCGGACGACAAGTGTGTCAGCTGAGCGGCAGTAACCTGATAACCAACCACCTCTTTACATTTATATCAACAAAAAGACGACGGATTAACTGTGAAAATATCTGTAGATCCTCAAGAAGCTGGTCACAGGAGTTTCCATACCCGTCACCTGTAAAATCCGAATCCTGCCTTCGGTAAGATCGTTTGTTTTCTGTTTCTATCCTTGCTGCTTTAAATATCTCTTCCTCTTGATGTTATTCAGAATCCGCCTGTAGTCATGAAATGTGTCTCACTCTCCCCATCAGGGTTGTTGTGATTGTTGTTAGCAGATTTATCACGCGTCTCGCAGTAACATCTGCTGTACCTGGTGTCGTGTTCTTCACTGCTTTCAGGTGGAGGAGACGGTCAGTCTGGTCCAGAGGATTGAGAAGACCGGCGTCGCTGCTGTCGCTGTTCACGGCAGGTAAACCGCTTACAGTTTACGCAGCAGCACCGCTGGAGAATCACATGGAGTCACCGTTTGGCATTTCTGTTGTTCAGGTTGAAGGACGAGCGTCCCAGACACCCCGTCCACTGCGATTACATTCAGGCCGTCGCTCAGGCGGTTTCCATCCCCGTCATCGCCAAGTAAGCCTCAACACCTGCTCCTCCATCTTTTTGCTCCAACAGGTGTCAGACTTGAAAAGTGTCTGTGACCACAGGTAAGACCTTTATTTTATTCTCAGATAAGGATTATCAAAACAAGTTCATCGGATTAAAACAGTCAGCGCGGGCATGCGGTTCTGCAATGACACTCGTTTTGTCTTGTTATAAACCCAGCACACCTAATCCTTTACAGCGGAGCCCCCCTCCCTCCCTGAAGGCCCAGACCCCAGTTAAGCTTGAGCCAATATGTCGGGGTAATAAATGCTGCATCGTGTTAATAATCGTGAGTTTTGCCTAGTCGAGCCGCCCTATTCTCAAGGTTCTATGTCTTGACCTGGTTCTACAGTTTCAAGCAGGGACTGTTTAGAAAACCCGGTGTATTCAGCACGCTGAGGAGTTTTGTTCCTTTAAAATTAAATCTAACAGATCTGTCTAGCCGTCCTGGAAGAGGGATCCCTCCTGGGTTCAACAACGGAGATGATGGTACAGATTGTAAAGCCCTCTGAGGCAAAGCTGTGATCTCGGGCTGTTTAAGTTGACCAGAGAAAAAGAAATGTAATTTGTGACAAAACCTGAATTTGCTCAGCTGCTTTTTACTCCTCTTTATAACAAAGCTAAGTTATTTGTGGAGATTACTTAAACCTGCAGTGGAGACTTTGTCTCCCCCTTCTGGTAGTGAGAGTAACTACACAAACACTGTCGACGCCCGCTCATGACGTGCAAAAACAGAGACTTTTCCACATTTCTGGGCAATAAACAGCCACACAGACGACTCCAAAGAGCAGTAACGCGACTTCCTGTCTGCCCTCACAGCTACACCAGTAATTATCCACGTTTGTCCTCGCCGTCCTTCGCTGTCTGTCTGACTGTAATCCCTCCTCTGAACGCAGCTTTTCTCTTTATCTCGAGCGTCAGAAACATTTTCTTGGCTGCATACAACACAACGCTGCCGAAGCCTATTTACATCAAAATAAACTTAAACAACCAGACACATTTTCTCCAGTCGACCTATTTCTACTTTTTCCACAGCAGTGCCGGATCCTGCAGCTCTGGGTTGCTCCCCCTTCAGCTCTGGCGAACTAATCATCACTAGCTGGCGTAAAACTGCAGATTTAAAAACTTGTGTATACTGCGAGTACAGAGAGATTTATCTGGCGGTGAGAAGCCTAATCTGCGTTGTAATGGTCTCTCCTGCAGCGGAGGCTCTCTGGATCTGGTGAAGACAAACGCCGACGTCGAGGAGTTCAGGAAGGCGACGGGCGCCTCGTCGGTCATGTTGGCCCGCGCCGCCATGTGGAACGCATCAGTGTTCAGCAACCGGGGCCGCTGCCTTTAGAGAAGGTCATGGAGGACTACCTCAAATATGTGAGTTTCTGTAGTTCTGCTTCTCAGCGGGGGAAACCTTGGCTGCCCGATGACTGACGCTGTTCCCGGTTGTGTTTTCTCAGGCGATCCGATACGACAACCACGTGTTCAACTCAAAGTACTGCCTGTGTCAGATGCTGAGAGACAAGGTGGAGTCTCCTCTGGGGAAGCAGGTGCAGGCGGCTCAGACCAACGCTGAGATCAGGTATTAAACCAGAGGGGACGCGGCCGACTGTGTGACGTCAGGCGTCGGCGATGCAATGTGACGTGGTGTGAATGTGTTGCAGCGAGGCGTACGGGCTGCGGGAGCTGTACCGGCAGACCCAGGAGCGGCTGCAGGCCAGGAGGGCCGCCCTGCAGAGCGGCTGCCAGCCGGACCCACTCGTAATGGACGGAGACGTCACCACCATGGCTGTCAAGTTTGAGCGGTCAGTAAACAAGCTCGGTCAAAATAATGAGTAAAATAAAAAGTGGGCCTCAGTCTCGCATCCCAGCGTTTGTGCCGCCGCACGACTTGATTTAAAAGGATGTTCTGAACGGTGATGTGTTCGCATTAGCATCTAACATCCAGGATCAGAAACAGCTTTACTGACTTTTTACACATTTGCCTCGGTGACGGGACGGTAGCGAGAGACCGATATGAATTAGAGCTGCAACCATTAATCGATTAGTTTTCAACTGTAAGTGAAAATTCTCTGATTCCAGCTTCTTAAATGTGAATATTTTTGGTTTCTTTCCTCCTTTATGACTGTGAACTGAATATATTTGGGTCGTGGACAAAACAATACATTTGAGGTCATCTTGAGTTTTGGGAAACGCTGAACAACATTTTAAATTCTCTGACATTTTATAGACCAAACTACTAATCAGTTAATCGAGCTAATAATTGACGGGTTATCTAACAATGAAAAGAATAATTAGTTGCAGCCCTAATATAAAAATTAATGTGTCTAAATTGGTGATTTACTAAAACTTTATTTATCTGTCTAAAGTTCAGTACCATGCAGCAGCTTTTCCACCTGCACAAACGAAGATTTGTTAGCATGTAAATCTGTTCCCATCAGAGAGAGACACAGGAGTGGATTTCCACTCTCATAAAAATACTCCCATCAGAAAATAGCACCTTTTCCCCGTCCCATCCCAGGATTCCCAGAAACATTTCAGCCTCTGGTGTTAATTTCTTTTTAAAAATAGAAATGTGTGCCTCACGGATGAATTTTGTTATTTAAAGAAATTTGCCTCCCAGTTCGCTCGGCAGGATGAATTTAGCGTGTGTGTCACAATCTGATGTCGTCATGTTAGCGTTCATCTGAAAAGCTGTCGTTGTAAATCTGCTAAATGTGTCACCCGATGAGTATTTGTTACTAAACAGACATTTTTCAGGAGAGGTTTGATGATCTCGACTTGTTTTTGTGGGTTTAGGAGAGAGTATCCAGCTCACATCACGCCAAAGATGTTCCTGCTGGAGTGGAGCCGCAAGGAGAAGCTGGAGCAGCCGCTTTACGAGACGGTAAGAAAGTTAATTAAACCTGCGCAGTGAACTTCTGCGGAGTCTGATGCCGGGGCTGATCCTCGGGCTGATGCCGGGGCTGATCCTCGGGCTGATGCCGGGGCTGATGCCGGGGCTGATGCCGGGGCTGATGCCGGGGCTGATCCTCGGGCTGATGCCGGGGCTGATCCTCGGGCTGATGCCGGGGCTGATGCTTTGCGGCAGTCTGATTTATATTTACTTTGATTTGATAGATAACTGTACTGGCTGTCGAGCTTCACCTGAGCAGGAAATTAATTATTTCTAACAGAACTTGTGACCACAAAACAAACCCACAAATGCTCCAGAGAATCAGAGGGAACGTGTTTCCCAGGTTTTTATGCATTTATGTTTTGATGTTATAATTCCTACGGTGCAGCGTGGCTCCGTGTTTGAGCCTTGATTGATTTGTACAAATAGTGCATCAATGTGACAAAGATGTAAGAAACACATGACGCGCAGATTATTCTGCCAACAGAAAGCCGTCCAGCTTTTAACCTGACTGCACATTTCAGGATAAAGCCACATTTCAGATAGATGAATGATCCAATACTGATATCAGATACTGACTCAAATATCTGCCGTGGGTATCGGTGACAAGTTCTATGGGGGCGATGGGGGTCAGTAAAGGTAGAGTTTCACTGGGCGAGCCGCCCAGATACGTTACAAGACATGGATACGGTGGATATTTACAAGCGCTGACCAGGTAAAGTAACAGTGAACACACGAGTGCAGATCTCATTCAGTACCACGCTGGTTTTGATCTCTTTATACCCCACATCAGAGGTCACTAATTGATGGACCGCGGTCCGGATCCAGACCCAGCCTCTCCGGACCCCCGACCTACAGTCGATTTATTATGGAGAATTGCAACCTCGTGACGGAGCGTTTGTTTTATTTACTGTCCTGGTTTAGCGTCTCAGGAAACTCAGACCAACGCCATGTGTTCCAATCGCTCATGTGATGCTGCTCAGCCAATCAAATCTGTGCGTTCCAAAAAGCATCGCGAGTGAGATCCACAGTAGGGCTGGACGGTTTGGACCAGAAAGTCCTATCCCGTACTGTTAGGCAGATAAAATACATATCGGTATTTAAAAACAGAACTGGACTTTTCCTCCTACGATTCCGTTCACAGCAGCAGCTGCGCTGAATGTTTGAGCCTTTCAAAACAAAACCAACATGTTGCATGTAAACGCTCCGTATTTGTATGGCGCCTTACTAGTATTTTCGACCTCTCAAAGCGCTTTGACACTACATCGCTTTCACCATTCACACACTGTGGAACAGCCGCCAGGGGCAATTCAGGGTTCAGTATCTTGCCCAAGGACACTTCGACACGCCGCCTGGAGGAGCCGGAGATCGAACCGCCGACCTTCCGATTAACGCTTTTCCTCCTGAGCCACAGTCGCCCCTGCACGGTAGCGAACGAATAACATCTGACTGGTGTGTTCACTGTCGCTTCACCTGGTCCGTGCATCTAAAATATCCATGTTTCACGACTTGTAACGTAAAGACTCTGTTTCTCTGAAAAATGCTACACTGTGTCAGAGGGAGGGCGGGGGCTGGAGAGGGAGGGGCTGGCAGGGGGGGGGGGGGCTGCGTGCAGAGGGAGGGGCGGGGCGGGGCTGCGCGCAGAGGGAGGGGCTTTACAGAAACATATTAATTAACTCAACATCAAATTAAATCGGTATAAACAGTATTGTCTATTTTATCTCTTTGAAATGATAGGATACTTTATACCGGCCAGCCCTAATACACAGAGGAAGAGAGGAGGCGAAAGAGAAAAGAGGCTTTTAATCAAGAACGTACAGATTCTTTCCTGAACATTCTTCCCACAGGCAGCTGAAACCCAGAATGTCTATTTGATCTCAGACTGTCAGGATTATAAAAGCGTCGCTACGAGTGAAGCACAAGTCTTTAGAGCAAACGTACCCACTCAGATCTGAAGCGAGGAACAGAAAATCCAGTCCCAGCTGGCAGGACGAGC